TCTCCTGATACTTGTGAGGTGAGCCCTCCTTCTACTCCTAGCCCATGAAGAAACACAGGACAGATACCTGGGGCCTCATTAGAAAGACCCTCAGGAATGATGTGAGCTACACAAAAGAGTGGAAAGAGAAGCTTTCACTAGAGGAAACACTGGTTCACATTCACTGAAGGCCCTTCCTACAGCATACTTAGGGCGAGGCAGTGATGGGGAATATGGAAAATAGCTCTTCCTTTCAAGTCATTTCTACTGTGATAAGTAATAGGGCCTTTGTTGCTCTTGCAGGAAGAGACTGCAAATCAGGTGATTTGTTTCTAGTCTGATTAATTGTCTTGAGTGACCAGTAGGCTAGACACACTTATATCTGAGTTTAATCACTCATTTTTGTTAGTGACCTAGGCATTTCCTCTCTTTTTCTTCCTTTAAAGGCAGAGGCAAATTGCTGATTTTCAGTCAAAGTCAATAAGTATTGTAAAATAGATTATTGTCTCCTCAGCTTTGTACTTTGGTAGACCGTCTTCAGAGCATGTAATTAGGGAACCCAGAAAAGTCAAAAGAAATAAAGCTACTGCCATCATAATTGTCCCTGTTTTTAAAAAGGGAGAAGTCTAAAGGAGCAGAAGGCAAGGATTCTGCTTCTAGAAAGCTGGGACCACATTCTGTGGGGAAATTCTGACCTCCTGAGCTCTCCCCTGACTTCAGCCTCTCCAGTTCATTTGGCTGAGCCGGTCTTTGGCGCCTTGATCAGTCTGCTGCTTAGAAGGGCAGGTACTAGGCAACCACAGGTCTGTGTTGTTCAGGCGGGCTACAGATAGAGAACTCAGTGGGAGAATGGCCTTCTTACCTGTGGGCGAGTGTAAATTCTCTGCACTTTGGAGGGTTTGAGAAAATGTAAACTTTTATTTGATAAATCAAAAACTCACTGATTGGGCACTTAATTAACCAAACTTCAGTGGGAGATGTTTATTGGCTGATTAGAGATCATCTTCATTCTATAAACAACCAGGACTGACCCCCAGGTGAACAGCCACCGTAAAATATGTTTAAACATGAAGATGTATATGTTTCTACCTCCCCACTGGTCATATCCTGAAATGTTTCTAGGATAGAACAGGAACAATTAGGAAAATTTATTATAATAACTTTTAGCAGGACTAAAAATTAATTTTATAATTCGTATTGTCTAAAATGAGTTTTTTTTTTTCCCCTCCCCAAAGCCCCACTAGATAGTTGTATATTCTAGTTGTAAGTTCTTCTAGTTCTTCTATGTGAGCCACCACCACAGCATGGCAACTGACAGATGAGTGGTGTGGTTCTGTGCCTGGGAAACAAACCCAGGCTGCTGAAGCAGAGGGCTCCAAACTTTAACCACTAGGCCATCAGGGCTGGCTCTGAAGTGAGTTTTTTAAGGCAAAGATACATTTACTGTGGACCTTGGAAATCTCTTTAGGCCATGGATAAGTAGTATATGAAAGGGAGAATTTAATAAATACACTTTAATTAGGGAACCTTGAGAACACTAGTGCTGAATGAGGCCCCTCTGCATTACCCCTGACAAACACTCACACAGCTTCTGATTAAATGCTTTAAGGATGAGAAACCACAACTTAGAAGAGTTCGTGTTTAAAGACTTGTGCCTATTTAATTTTCTCAGCTTTTTTTTTAAAAAAAGCAAAAACCTGGCTTTCTTTTAATTCTACCATGGGATCCAATTCTTAGTCCTAGATCAACATAAGAATCAAATCCTCCTGCCCCAAATACCAAGATTGCTGTCATGTGCCTCATAGTCGTCCTCAAGGCTCAAGTGTTCTAGCTCCCTCAGCTCCTCCTCCTGTGAGATTCCTTCTGGGCTCTGCCACCTGGTCGCACTCCTGCAGACACCCTCCAGCGTGCCCCTGTCTTTCTTCAAAAGTGAAATGAACGCAACACTTCAGATGTGGGCTGCCTAGGGAGCGGGGCACTCTGTTCTCTTCATATAGCCTAAGCCTGAGTTTCTTTTCCGCAGTCTTGTTGTATGGCACAAATCTACTGCTTATAAGGATATGCCTTAATTAAAAGGTTAGGATGTAGTCAGTAAAAGAACCATGAAAGTACAACTAACTTGCTGAGTACAACTAACTCATATCTCATGATATGAGAGGCATCTATAAACATGATTTTGATACTAAAATATCTGTGCTGTTGCCATCATCATGGTTACTATTAGCAAACTAATAGCAGCTCTTTAGAAGGAGGTTCATGGGTGCAGTTGTAGAATTTTGCTGGGGGCTCAACAGAAAGTTCCCTCGTTCATATATGTAAACTTTCTCTTATTTGTCCTTCTCCAGGCGTTGGGCCCCTCTCTCATTCTGAATAATAACATTCTGATCCCGTCTGTAAATTGTTCAGTACTCTAACATTTAGTTCTTCTGGGGATGGAGACTGGAACTCTTCTCAGAAGGTAGACACTAGCACCACACCTCTCTTGTACCATGTTTTCAGAAATAATTTTTAAAATAATTTCTCTTTGATAAAGTAGGGGAAGTAAAATAAGAGTTTCTGCCTTTTATTTGTTATCAATTAAAATTATGCCATATGCTCCAAGCATTGTGCCCACCCCTTTTATTTCTTTTGGCTCAAGTATCTTATTTTTCTTTTTTTCATGTTTTTTAATTTATTTTCCTTTTTTTGTTTTGTTTTGTTTGGGTGAGGTTTGGCTCATTTCGTGCTTAAACTTCCTGACATTGTTTTTACAGGCTTGGGCCCCACTGCTTGTGTGTGGTGATCTGAGTTGTCTTCCACCATTTTGTTGCTCCTCAGCCTGCCCGAGGCCCGCCCGCCGTCCCTCCGCTGACTCCCTCCCTCCGCTGACTCCCTCAGAACCTTACTGACGCACTTAGGAACCCTCGTTCCCCCTTTTCAAGTCTTCAGCTATGGAATTCTACCTCTCTTTTCTTTTTCATTTAAAGAATTAATATGCTTCCCTAAAGTCTGGGCTAAGTTAAAACCGTAACTTGAGATTTTTCCCATTTGTGCCCCGGTGTAAGCTTTTAGCTCAATTTTAGTTCGGATTTAAGAATCCAAATGTTCTCATCATATTCTGTTTTAAAACTTTTCATACTCCATGGTATTTGAACAACTTTTGAGATCTATAAACATTTTGAAGTCCTTTACTTTTTTCTGGCTGATGGAGTTGGAATAGGCCAGTACGCACTAAATCCTTCAGTTTGACCCAAAAATATTTCTCTCAGGCTCCTTATTGCCAGCTCCACCTCCTTTTGCTGCGGGGCCAGCCTCCAGGGCCTGGGAGCCCTAAGGATTCTGAGGGTGCTGTTATTTGACTCCTTCCTATGGATCATTCCAAAGGAAGGCACGTGGAGTCTGTGGAATTCCGTGATCACCTGAATTGTCCTTTGATAATCAAGTGCAGGTGCAGGTACTGAGGAGCAGCTACCTCGCTCGCCCTGTTTTTGCCCATTGACATGTTCTCTGCTCCCACTTCGCATAGCTGTGACCCAGCACCTTCGCCAAGTCCACCGACAGCAAGGTGTCTCTGTCTGGAAGGCTCCCCGCGCTTCTGCACGTGATTCCTCCTGCATCCCCACCTGCTCTCAGCTCCCCTGAGAACCTGCTTGGCCCAGGAACCGGACTGTGCCTTGGGATTCAAAGATGAAATAGCTAACAGCCGTATACAGTAGACGCTCAATAAACAATGGAAGGCTTGGTGATTATTATTTACTTGGCTTTGGCAATGAGGTGAAAGTGAGGAGTTTTCCTATAATTGGGCTCTGTATGTTTTGGCAAGAGGAAAAGGCAGGGGGAGAAACCATGATGGGGAAATTTCTAGCTGTGCCCCTGCTTGCACTCCCCTTCCCTCCCCTTCCACAGCACGTGCCCTGCACTTCCACTGCCTCGTCCAGACAGAGGAGGAATGCACACACAAGTATAAGATGGGTGCTGGCGTTGCTTCCTTAGACCTCATGTCTTTCTGAGAAAAATGTGTCAAAAAGCCAAACCAAGGGCAAAAGACAAATTTCTCAGAAAGCCAGCTAAAATGGGAGTCTGCCTTTTATAACACAAGACTGGCTGACTTTATTAAAGTCTACAGAGGTCTTGCTGCTGGGGCACACATTAGCACCTCATTCAGCGGCTGAGTGCTGGGCACTCCTGGAGTGGCTGAGGCTGCCTCTGTTTACCCAGTTGCTTTGAAGAGCAGCAGACGTGATGCAGAGGAGGCAGATCAGTGGGCAAGAGTATGGGCCCTGGGGAGGTGGAGGCGGTCAGCCTGAGAAGGAGAGGCCTGGCCCCACTGTGCTCCACAGGCATTCAAGTACAAGCAAGTCTCTAGAACATGGATTGCCAAAAGGACTTTGGTGACTCCCTCATCCGCTAAAAGGGGGTGTGAAAAATTACTTGAGTCTGTGTTTCTGAAGAGAGGGTCTTTTACTTTCAGAAGATTCTTAATGGCTTCATTATTCGCCCTTTTTTTTTCTTTTTTTTTTTTTAAGGGGAATGCTGACCGATTCTTTAGTCTTCTGTGGCAATGTAGGATAAGAAGGCGTCCGTTTGAATTGTAGCTAAAGTTTCTGTAGAAGTCAGGAAGTCCTTCCCTCTCAGGATGTTAAATCCGTGCGCTAGTAGGGAGGGGGGCTCTGCGTGGCTGCAGCAGCCTGTTCCTTCATCCACGGCTCTCCGGTGTGAACGGTGCCTGCTGGGGAGGGAGAGCCGGCATTGGCCGTGGTTACCATGGAGGACAAGTGAGCACTTTTTGTAAAAGCTTGTGATTCTCTTTGAAGCGGATCTTTCAGTAGTTTATGACACTGAGTTTCCTAAGAACACATGATTACAGCAAATGTTATTCAAGCTAGAAAAAAATATAAATATATTGTATAAAGTAAACTAATAAGTATTTGGTTTCTTTTTTCCCTTAGTCTGCTGGGTAAACCAGATTATGTCATTCCAATGAATGATTTTTTTTCTTGGATAAGCCATTTAATAAATAAAATCTACTGTGGAACCTCTGTGATCCCTGGGGCAAAATGAAACTGATGCAACATGTATTTACATAGTGATTAAAAGGGAACTCGGAAATGACTTTGTTTACCCAAGTTCCTGGATTCATGTCAAACAGCAATCTAATGGAGAATCTGAACTGAGTTGAATCAAGATGATCTGAAACCCCCCAACAGTTATTTCTGGTTCAGAAACGTGAGAATGTTTTTAGAGTGGGCATTCCTTATCAGAAAACCTCCTACTAGCAATTTAGGGGTTGAAGCTATAAAATATCACGGCATACTTTAAGAGAAATTTGCTTCAGTCTATAATACTATACTGTTTAATAAAATCAAAGGAACTTTCCATTAATTAATCTTTACTAATTTTTGTCTGTTTAGGAATAAACCAACACAATGGACTGGGGTACCCTGCACACTTTGATCGGGGGTGTAAACAAACATTCCACCAGCATTGGGAAGGTGTGGATCACTGTCATCTTCATTTTTCGTGTCATGATCCTTGTAGTGGCTGCTCAAGAAGTGTGGGGTGACGAACAGGAAGATTTTGTCTGCAACACTCTGCAACCTGGGTGCAAAAATGTGTGCTATGACCACTTTTTCCCCATGTCCCACATCAGGCTGTGGGCTCTGCAGCTGATCTTCGTCTCCACCCCAGCCCTGCTGGTAGCCATGCATGTTGCCTACTACAGACATGAGACTGCCCGCAAGTTTAGGAGAGGAGAGAAGAGGAACGAATTCCAAGACTTAGAAGACATTAAGAAGCAGAAAGTCCAGATAGAGGGGTCCCTGTGGTGGACGTACACCAGCAGCATTTTTTTCCGGATCATCTTTGAAGCAGCCTTTATGTACGTGTTTTACTTCCTTTACAATGGGTACCATCTGCCCTGGGTGTTGAAATGTGGGATTGACCCTTGCCCCAATCTTGTCGACTGCTTTATTTCTAGACCTACTGAGAAAACCGTGTTTACCATTTTTATGATTTCTGCCTCTGTAATTTGCATGCTGCTTAATGTGGCCGAGTTGTGTTACCTGCTGCTGAAAGTTTGTTTTAGGAGATCAAAAAGAGCACAGACGCAAAGAAATCACCCCAATCATGCCTTAAAAGAGAGTAAGCAAAATGAAATGAATGAGCTGATTTCAGAGAGTGGTCAAAATGCGATCACAGGTTTTCCAAGTTAAACATTTCAAAGTACAATGTAGCTGACTCATGATAAAACTGACCTGAAGCTCCCCTCTCCAGGCTGAAGACCTTGTCTTCATCAACGGCTTTCGTAGTACATAGATACTTGAGTTAACTTTTTGTAGAATAATTGTGCCATTAATATGCAACATAATATGTGGTCCATCTCTGAAAACTAAGACGATGACAACTGTGCCTTGAAGTAACTTGAACATGTTTGTTTTAAGTGGACTGTCTGACATAGTGGATATTCCCTGAAAATTTAAGTATGTAACTGTTGTTGATAAAGAACATTTATCTATAAATTGATGCTCTTATTAGTAAAAGATATTTTTATAGGATCAAATGTTTTAGTTCTGACTTTGAATTTGTATATTTTTATAATGACTGGTCTTCCTTACTTGGAAAAACTTGCAATGTTAGTTTTAGAATCATACCATAAGTATCTAAATTTTGAACTTAAAAGGGTCTACCTTGTAAATATTGTTTTGAATTGTCTATTGACAAACTTATGAACTGTCATGATACTCTTAATGTGGAAAGTGTTCGTCATACCATGTATTTTTACTGCTTTCTGAATGTGGACCGAGCTGTGTGGAAGCGGGAAGCTTTTTAAAACCAGCCTATTTGCAGTCATTGTGAACAGCGGACGCGTGAATGTGCTCCCCTCAATAAAGATCAGCCCCATTGCTTGAGCCTCGGTCCGCATTCTGGGTTTCTGTGCGGTCCGGTCGCGGCGCCAGCGTCCCAGTGCGGTGATGCGCCGGTGGGGCTCCTCTTGCTGGCGAGGCTGCCGTCGCGCGCGTGGGCTTGCCGGGAGTCCAGCGGCGCTCGCGCATGCTCACAGCAAGTGAGCGGGGGCTGAGCTGAGCCGCCCACCAGGTCCTCAGCTTGGGGAGGGGTTGGCTGCTTTAGGACACAGCAAATGGCCTCTGGGTCAGTTCGGGCTTGATAGAGAGGAGGTTGGGGAAGTTGGACTCCTTCGTTGAGTCCTTCAGTCCGTGGTGACAGAAGAGCACCCGTAGCCTCACGCCCATCGGTGGGGAAACCTTTCTGCCCAGGGATTTCCGGATGGAACACGGCCGCGGTTACTGCGGGTGTTAGCGAGTCAGCCGCAAACTGGTCGCTCTGGAGTAATAACACCCACGAATGCAGCGTCCGTGTGACGGGACGCGGTTAGCATGGTACGTCGTGCAAGGGGAAATCTAGTGAAGAGCTTGACACGGCGCCATGGTCTCAGAACCTCTCTCCAGAAACGTAAAAAAATAATTCTCATTTTCTTCAGAATCCAAAGCAAATTCCAGACATATCATTTCATCCATAAATTTTTTAGTACCAATCTATAAAAACGAAGGACTAACCTTATAAAACAAAACCACAATTCCATCACACTAAAAACTCTAGTTAGCACTCATTATGCCTCATTGTCCTATAATATTCTTTCTTTTCAGAGCTGTTTGAATGGGTATCAAATGAAGGAGGCCGGGAAGTATCAGGGGACCAGGTAAAACAGCCTTGGGAACAGTCCCAATCTATGTGGAAGAGGGCCTGACTCTCTCGGGACTCCTGGTCCCCCTCATGACAGCCTGGCCTTGGTGGTCCCTCCTTTCTCTTCTATTTTCAATCTCTTTCTCTTCTGTAGTTGCTTCGTGCTCTCTAATGTCTCCAAACGCTCCTTCCCTTGAGCTGTCTGGCTGCACCATCCCCTCAAGGTCTGAGAGTGGTGGGCCATACTCGCTGCCAGCACACTCCTTCCCTACCTACCTCTCAGCACCTTAATCATTTGGGCCCACCCTCACCACTGAACCCAAGCCATTATCGGCACCAATGACTTTCTGAGCACCAAATCTAATGGCTTCTAATCAGTTGTCATCTTCTTAAAACTCTTTTGAGATCTTTTTCTGGATTCCAAGACACTGCCCAACCTAACCTTGGGTTTGCACCTCCAACGGCTCCTCAGTCTCCTGCACTGGCTTCTCTCTCTTACCCCATCCCTTGGGTGAAGACCTTCCCTTTCCTCAGCCTCCACTCTTCCTTGGCAATCTAATTTACCTGTGCGATTACCCTATGAGATATTGTCCCATTTACAGATGTGGACACTGAGGCTCAGAGAGGTTAAATAACTTGCCCAAGGTCCCATAGCTGATGAGTACTAGAGCCAAGATGCAAAACAGGTCCGATTGTCTCCAAAGTCAGTGGCTTAACTACCACATTACACCAACTCCCGCAGCTCCATGTGTGATGACCTCACGTAAGGTGTAGTGTTGAGAAACCCCACGCCCCTCTCACCAGCTCCAACAATTATCTATTGATGCCTATTCACTTTCCCAACAGACTGTTGCCTGCTTATCCCCCACTCTGGATTACTCTGAAGCAAATCCAAGACATATCATTTTGTCTGTAAATATTTCAGTATGGGTCTTTTAAGAGGATAGACTAACCTTTTAAAACAAAAACACAATGTCACCATCACAGTAAAAAATCCAGTCAGTGTTCGTAATTCCCCATTGTCCTGCAAATGTTCCTTTCTTTTTTTCTTTTTTAATTAAACTTGTTATTTTTAGGTAATTGTAGATTCACATGTAGGTGTAAGAAATAATGCAGAGGTCCCATGTGCTCTTTGCAGTTCCCCCCAGTGGTAACATCTTACAAAACTACAGTACAAGATCTCAACCAGTCTATAGATGTTGATGCAGTCAAGAGACAGAACATTTCCATCACCATGAGGACTCCTCATGTTGCCCTTTTCTACCCACATCCTATTCCCTCCTATCCCACTCCCACCCCCCACATCCCTTCTTAACTCCTGGCAACCACTAATCTGCTTACCATTTATATAGTTTTGTCATTTCAAGAATGTTATTATAAAATGAATCATACGGTATGTAAGTGTTGAGTTTGGATTTTTTTTCCCCTCAGGACAACTCTCTGAAGATTCATCCAGGTCATTGTGTGCACCAACAGTTTGTCCCTTTTTATTACTGGGTAATAGTCCATGGTATGTATGTACCACAATTTGTTTAACCATTCACGCATTGAAGGACATCTGGGCTGTTTCCAGTTTTTGGCTTACATGAAAAATATGAACATTCATGTACAGGTTTTTCTGGGAACACAAGTCTTCATTTCTCTATGATAAATATTCAAGAGTCCAATTGCTGGGCCGTATGGTAGTTGCACGTTTCATTTTTCAAGAAACTCCCAAACTGTTTTCGAGAGGAACTACACCATTATACATTCCCACCTGCAATGTATGAGTGATCCCGTTTTTCCTCATCCTTACCAGCATTTGGTGGCGTCACTATTTTTTATTTTAGTCATTCTGATAGATGTGTTTAATTTGCATTTTCCTAATGGCTAATGAAGTTGAACATCTTTCCATGTGCTTATTTGCCATCTCTATATCCTCTTCATGTCTTTTGCCCATTTTCTAATTGGATTGTTTGTTTTTCTACTGTTGAGTTTTGAGAGTTCTCTATATATTCTAGTTACTAGTCCTTGGACAGATATGTGGTTTGTAAATATTTTTTTCCACTCTGTAGGTTTTCTTTTCATCTTCTTAACAGAGTCTTTTGCAGAGTAATAGTTTATCATTTTAACGAAGTCCAATTTATCAATTTTTTCTTTTATGGATTGTGTTTTTGATGTCAAGTCTAACAACTCTTTGCCTAGCCTTATATCCCCCAAATTTTCTCCTACTTTTTTTGAAAAGCTGTATAGTTTTACGCTTTACATTTAAGCATATGGTCCATTTTGTGTTAATTTTTATATAAAGTCTGAAACTTAAGTTGAGGTTCATTTTTTTGCCTGTAGATGTCCAGTTCCTCCAGCCCCATTTGATGAAAATGCTGTCTTGTCTCCATGAATTGCTTTTGCACCTTTGTCAAAAGTCAGTTGGGCATATTTGTGTGGGGCTATTTCTGGATTTTCTGTTCTGTTCCATCGATCTGCATGTCTATCCTTCTACCAATACCACATAGTCTTGACTAGTGTACTGTAGAAATGTTCTGAAGTCTGCTAGAGTGATTCCTCCTACTTTATTCTTCTTTTTCAAATTGTTTTAGGTATTCTAGTTGCTTTGCCTTTCCATATAAATTTTAGAATAATCTTGTCTTTGTCTACAAAAAATCTTGCTGGGTTTCTGATAGAAATGGCCTTAAAGCTATATATCAGTTTGAGGAGAAGTGACATCTCTACTATGTCAAATCTTCCTATCCTTATACACAATATGTCTCTCTATTTATTTATACCTTCTTTGATTTCTTTCATCAGCAATGTGTAGTTTTCAGCATACAAGTCACGTAAATGTTTTGTTAGATTTACTTCTAAGTATTTCATTTTCTCTGAGTGATGGTAAAGAGTGTTGTATTTTAATTTCTGTGTTTACATGTTCATTGATAGTATATAGAAATAAATGTTATTTTTGTTTGTATCGTGTGATCTTACTGAACTTATTAGTTCTAGGAGATTTTTTGTAGATTCCTTGGGATTTTCTGCATAGACAATAGTATCATCTGCAAACAGGGATAGTTTTATTTCTTCCTTTCTGTTCTGTGTCTTTTATTTACTTTTCTTGCCATGTTGCACTTCCAGTATTAGGTTGAATAGGAATGATAAAAGCAGAAATCCTATGTTGTTCCTGATCTTAAGGGGAAAGGATTCAATCATTCACCATTAAGTATAATGTTAACTATAGTTTTCTGTAGATGCTCTTTATGGAGTTGAGAAAGTTCCCTCTCTATTCCTATTTTTCTGAGAGTTATTATCATAAATGGGCATTGAATTTTGTGGGAAAAAAAGTCTTGCATTAGTTGATATGATCATGTGCTTTTTATTCTTTAGCTCATTAACATGGCAGATTACATTTACTGATTTTCAAATATGGAACAAGCCTTGCATCCCTGGAATGAACCTCATTTGGTCACAGTGTATAATTGTTTTATATATTACTGAATTCCATTTGTTAATATTTTATTAAGAATATTTACATCTATATTCATGGGGCATATTGTTTTTTTTTGTACTGTCTTTGTCTGGTTTTGGTATCAGGGTACTAGCATCACAAAATGACTTGGGAAGTGTTTTTTTTTTCCAGTTATTTTATTGAAATCATAAAGGTTTATAACATTGTATAATTTCGGGTGTACATTATTATTTGTCAATTTCTGTATAGACTGCATTGTGCTCACCACCAGTAGTCTTTTTTTTTCAGAGGAAGATTCCCCCTGAACTAAAATCTGTGCCAATCTTCCTCTATTTGTATGTGGGTCACCACCACAGCATGGCCACTGAGTGTTTTAGGTCCACGTCCAGGAGCCAAACCTGCGGCCACTAAAGCAGAGTGTGCTGAACTTAACCACTACACTTCAGGGCCAGTCCCACCAGTACTCTAATTTTTATCCGTCACCATACATATGTGCCCCTTTACCCCTTTCACCCACTCCCCAGCCCCCTTTCCCTCTGGTAAGCACTAATCTATTCTCTTTATCCATGTGTTTGTTTATATTCCACGTATGAGTGAAATCATGCAGTATTTGTCTTTGTCTGGCTTATTTCACTTTTTTAACATCATACCCTGAAGGTCTATCCATGTTGTTGCAAATGGGACATTTTTGTCATTTTTATGGCTGAGTAGTATTCTATTGTGTATATATACCACATCTTCTTTATCCATTCATCTGTAGCAGGGCACTTGGGTT